TCAACGCCAGATTCAGAGGCAATCATGGGTATTCCCTTTTTCCTCACTGTCTGTGCATCTCTCGATTATTTTTTTTTTTTTTTTGTATTTGCCATCCTCTTTCGTTGTCCCTGTGTCTGCCGCATTGTTGTTGCTGCCATACGTGCAATAGCCGACGGCGGCTCGTTATCGTCATTATCATGGCCAGCATTAATGTTGATGCACTTTAATTGGCAATTGAGTTGATGCAAGTCGCCGACCCAGGCACAAGTCAGATTGGAGATTGGACCAGCACCACAACCGGCTCAGGCCAATAGCCTGACAAGTGCTCGCTGCCGCAGCCACCAAGCGTACATTTTATAATTTCATTATAAATGGCCTTAATGGCCAGCAGGCAATCGTTGCATGCTTTTAAGCCAGCCGCAGACACAACTTAAATTCAGATATAACTCTAACACTTAAGATACCAATCCAATAAACAACCAGGCTTCAAATCCGAAGTGGAATAAATATGTGTGTAGACTGAGCTGACAAAGCAGCTTTTAGAACCAAGAAGTGCGTAATCATAACTTTTCTTAAAAGCAATTATTGCCCACTCTGCGAACGTTTATTTTGTATTTGTTCAACCACATAAACGTGCAATCGAACTCGATTTTCTACGTAACTGATTTGTTTGTCAAAACCAATCAGGCAATTCCACTTCATTTAAAATGTCCTTTACTGTCACTTGGCTAGTACAGACGTGCACGGTTTCGATTAATCCAAATAAAATCGGTAGTGCCAACTCCGAATGCCAACTAATATGCCTTTTCGGCGAACTCTTACGACAAAAAAACTTAGCTCTGCAAAGGCATTGTTAACGCTCAAAACATAATAGTACATAAGCAAGTAAGAGGTTCTAGTCGAGAGTTCCCGATTACGGGAACCCTATTTTTCCAACACCATATGCAGATCGCGCAATGCACTGTTTGTAGTAATAAAGAAAAAGGTAAACAAAAAAAGTTCTTTGGCAGGGATCCAACTTGCACACTGCACTACTTGCCGTCGTCTCTACTCAACAGACAACCGGCCGAAATAATATAATAGTTTTCTCGGTATGGCTCGATCTCGCGACAGACCACAACGGTTGCCATTACATTAAAATTAACATTAAAATGAACATTAAAATGAGCATAATAGGATCACTACTTAACTTAAAGGATCACAACTTAACTATTGATAATTAAATATAAATTATAAAAGGATCATCGATTTCGAGATTATAAACTAACTTAAAGAATATTTAAACGCTATATTTTGAATTAAAGGTCTTGTTATTAAAAAAATACTAGCCAAAAAGTTTTATTTTTGTTTATGATGTACCAAATATTATTTAATAACTCGACTTACAATTATTACAATTAGATAGATTCACAATGCAATATGAATGGAATAACTATCAACTAATTTCAAATTTTTCTTATTAGATGCCTCATTTAAAACGTTCAATTTAATTACTAACATTTATTATATTTTTGTGAAACCATTGTCAACTAATGCAGTAAACAACTGAATTTATGTGTTTTGCACAATTATGCATTTAGGCAAAAACTATTAGCCAAGACTTACAGCTAGCTGATGCTAATTTAAGCAGAAACCTAGGCACACCCATTGCACGCCCCCAGCCAACCTATTTGTCTACCCTCTCCCTGGGTGGTTGGTCTGCCAAAATTTCCTTTGGCATCCATAAACGACAACTGTTGCCAAGGCAAGTGGCATAAAGCAAATCGGCATTGGCATCATCGTCAGCATCAGTGTCTGCCTCAGACCGAGACTTCTCCAGCTCGTGGCAGCATCTAATTAGATTGTTTTGGCAGCCGTACAAGCATTCCGCTTGCCGAGTTGGCGCCAGCAGCGGCTGACAGTTCAAAATTGTTAAATAATTTAAAAATGAATTAGCTGCAATTTTTATCTATGCGTCTGTGTGTGCGAGACAATGAAACATAAAAATGCCATAAAAATCGTTACCAATTTCATGCATAACAGTTAAATAAAATTTAATTTGGCAGAAAAACGTAGTGAATGAGAGTTGAAATGGCATGAACAAAATTGAAAAAAAAGGAAAAGCTAAATACACAAATGACCAAACAATATAAAAATCTCAGTCGACGACAGAGAAAGCGATATAGTTTGAGAGCGAGAGAAATAGAGAGAGAGAAAGAGAGAGAGAGAGAGGGAAAGAGAGTGAGAGAGCTATAGAAATAAGAGGTAAGTGGCATGAATACATTAGGGTCGGTCTCCAGGGAAACAGGCAGCAGAAGCGGCATTGCTCATAATGAAGACAACACGTTTGTGTAACAGCAACAAAAACAAAAACAAACACTAAAGCAAATAAGGTCCGTCAACATTTATTATTAATTTTAATATATCAAAGTGCGCCAAAAATTATTAAAAAAGAGAACAAAATAAAAATAAAAAATTAATACAGGCCACTTGGCACGCGGTCGATCTTAACTTAGGTAGTATCGTAGTTGCTGCTGGTCAGACGCAGACGCAATTTGAAAACTTTGGCAAGACGCCCACTGGCTAATTTGATGGTTTTTTGTTGCCGCTAGTCGGGTCACTGAGAGCCTAAGCTATAAAGTACTTAATATGTCAACTGACCATCAAGCCCACTGGCCTTAATTGAAATAATTTTCGGGGCGTATCTCTGGACATCCTGTATTCAACTTCTTAACAACAATTGTGTTGCACTTTAAATATAATAATAATTAAAATAATATATATTATATATATAAATATATTTATTTTCGTACTGTTGAAATCATATTTAAAGTCTTGAATGAAAAAGATATTGATATTAAATGCATTTATTGCTGAATACTTTTGGATTATTTTATTGGAGTAATAACTTTCTAAGTCTGTAGCGAATTTATTGCGTAGTCAAAATACGGTTAAGTTAAATCGTGCACATTAAGTAGCTCCACTCGTCTGATTAAGCACACACACCGCAAATTATACTCCAAAGAGAAAACTATCTGTTATCTTAAAAATTATGCGCGTTAAAGGCATCCGCATAAAACAAACAAAATACAAAAAATAAAATAAAAATGCAATGGTAAATCGAACTTAATTTGGAGGACAAGCAAAAATAAATGGTTAAAAAAATTTAACGAGCTGCAAAAAAAAAAATAAAATTACAATGAAAACCACAAAGCTCTGTTGTTTTTTTTTTTTTTTTTTTTTTTTTTGTGAGTGTCGCATACTGTCACGGTCCTTATGTGTGTGTGGGTGTGACTGTATGTGTGCATATTTCGCCTGCCAATCAACTCAACAATCGCAATCAATTTGCACGCTACTGCTGCAGTCAATGGCCACCCCTTGGCAGGCGCTAAAGAGAGAACCGAATGGCTGAGCTTCCCAGTTCGAGAATATTTTCACTGTGCTGCTGCAACTGTCATTTCCATGTGTGAGAGTGCGTGTATGTGTGTGTGTGCGAGATATATCAGCAAAAACCAAAATATAAAGTGTTGTCCCCGCAATGCGTTTTTTTTAATTACGTTACTGCACCATTAAGGCCGCAGTGTCTGGCCATGAATCATGACAATGAATATGGAATGAGCCCAAGATTTGCGGCAAACGCTTCAAATAGGATGGGGACATAAACTCACATTCGTGAGTGCGCACAATACTTTAAAAGTTGGCTAAATTTATGGGCATTATATTGAAATCATAAGCATAATATGCATGCGCCGTTGACGCCAGACGCCTGCCAATATACAAATTGCCAAGTATTGTTATGCTAAATTTATTTGTGCTTACACATAAGCTCGGAGCGTAGCGTATGTGTGTGTATATGTATGGTGTAACTTTTGTTGCTGCTGGTAACTTCATCAGGCGCACGATTGAAACGCAGCTTCCGCTTCCGCTTCAAAATGGCTGCTGCTGTTGCTGCTGCTGCTGCTGCTGCTGCTGTTGTGACTTTGCCTGCAAACAAATCAGCTTGAACTTCCGTTTCATTTCGCATTTTTTGTCATTTCATATTCTTTTGCAAGTTACCCCAATTCCCGACACCCTCAGGAATATCTTACAATTTTTACTGTGCATTTCGGCGACTTTTGTGAAAATTTGCTTTTCACTTTCAGCGTCTGCCGTCAGAAAAGTTATATGCATAGCTTTTAGCTCACATAACGTATATTTTCATATTTTTTGCTGCTAACTGGTTTTCAATGTCAATGCACACACACACACACACACACATCCCCACCCAGACACATACTCGCTCCCACGCACGCTCATAGGTATGAGGAAACGGAAACTTTGTCTTTTTGGCATTTCATTTCCTTCATTTCGGGCTTTTGCACCTCGAAGCGTTATTTCGCGCTGAACGTGTATGTAGATTTCAATGGGACCGTGATTCTGTTTAATTTTATGCTCGGCTGCTTATTTAAATTCTTTCCCTCGTCTGCGTTTAAATTCTGTTTGTTTTCGTTGACATTCTATTTCGAAATCAATCAACGGGCACGTGTTCGGTTTTGGGTTGATAGCTTTCAGCCATAACAATGCCCATTACAATGTTTGTGGCCATTTGTAGTCTGAGTTTGCGAATAGGGCTCCACTATGACAGCCAACATTTAAATTAGCATCTATTTTTAGGCTGCCAAGCGATGCGTGGTCGAAAAAGAATTACAAGCAAATTTGTGAATGTTATCAAAGTAAATTTTAAATTACCCATTTTATGCACAACAAATTCATCAAAGAAAATAATTTTTCTAGCACTCACGGAATGAAAAATTGTTTTTCTACGTTTACAAGGCTCTTACAAAAAACTATAAGAAGTGAAGTCTTTATGTAGAGTCTCGAAATATGGCCAATTATGTGCTCTTCGCGCATTTAAAGAGAACCTTTCAATGGTTGACTCTCTCTTTTAGACCATTTGCCGCTCCAACCAAAAGCTTGTGCTTATCTGCTATCAAAAATTGTCCACACACAACTAATAAAATGCCGAACTACTGCTAAAAATGATAGTACTCAAGCAGACGTCCGCAGGCAACACACATATAAAATATCAGGATGCAGCTGCTTCATCTTTTATTACTGCTGTCGGTCAGTTTGGGCCATGTCTGGGGCTACTCCTTTCTACTGATCTCGCCCACTGCGGCAAAGTCACACTTCTATGTCGGTCAGGCCTTGGCCAAGGGTCTGGTTGCCGCAGGACACGAGGTCACGGTGGTCTCGCCGTTTCCACAGAAGAAGCCTATCAAGAACTACGTAGATGTGGCAACGCCGAACATAATAACAGCCATGGCTGGTAAGTATCAATGGGTTTAATAGTGGGAAAGTCACGTAACTGTTATCAATTAATCACCGTCTGATAATAATAGACGTGCAAAAAGTAATCGAAGTTCTTTCTTTCACAATCATTGAAATTAATGGATTGCTTCACATTCCAGTCAACAAAGCTAGAATTCTGGACGTTGCTAAGATACCTTTAGTATTCCGCCTGCCTGTTATGCATGCCATGGGTCTCAAGCTGACCCGAACTTTGATGGAGGAACCTGAGGTACACACACTATTGGCACAGAATCGCACCTTCGACGCGGTCATCTGCGAAGTATTCATGAATGAGGCGCACTTTGGCTTTGCCGAGCACTTTCAGGCACCGCTGATAGGTCTGAGCACCTTTGGAGCTTCTACTTGGACCACGCAGCTGGTTGGCACGCCTTCGCCGCCCTCCTATGTGCCCAACTTTCTGCTCCATTTCAGCGATCACATGAGCTTCTTTGAGCGTGCACACAACCTAATCTTCACGGCTTACGAGCTGATTTACCAGCACTTTTTCTATTTGCCCCAGCAACAACAACTCTATAGGAAATACTTTCCCAATAACAAGCAGGAATTCTACGAACTGCGAAAGAATACAGCGCTGGTGCTGCTCAATAATCACATCTCCCTGGGCTTTTCCCGACCCTATGCTCCGAACATGATCGAAGTGGGCGGCATGCACATAAATCGCAAGAGCCAATCGCTGCCGCAAAACATAGAAGAGTTCATCAAAGGCGCCAAGCACGGAGTCATCTACTTTTCCCTGGGCTCAAATTTAAGGAGCTCAGACTTACCGCTGGAAAAGCGTGAAGCATTTGTCGAAACATTCCGGAATCTTAAGCAGCGCGTGCTTTGGAAATTTGAGGAGCCCAATTTGCCTGGCAAGCCAGACAATGTCTTCATTTCGGACTGGTTCCCGCAAGACGACATTTTGGCGCACGAGAATGTCATCTTATTCATTACGCATGGTGGTCTCCTCAGCACAACGGAGTCCATTTTCCATGGAAAACCCGTGTTGGGCATTCCCTTCTTTGGTGATCAGTTTATGAATATGGCACGTGCAGAGCAGGCCGGCTATGGAGTTACAGTAGCATATTCCGAACTGACAAGAGAGACGTTCCAGAATGCTATAGACAAAATACTAACTAATCCCAGCTACACGGAGCAGGTGCGTGAGATGTCCTCTACATTCCGGGATCAGCACGAAACGCCGCTGGAACGCGCCGTCTATTGGGTGGAGCATGTGACTAGGCAGAAAGGCGCGAGATACTTGAGAAGTGCTGCTCAGGATCTCAGCTTTATACAATATCATAACTTGGATGTTTTAGCTATGATCATTGGAGGATTATGTTTGGCTCTGTATGCCGTTTTTTATTGCCTAGCGGCTCTTGTAAGGCTCATTGGTAAAAGACTAGGTGGAAAGTCCACAAAAGTTAAAAAAAATTAATTTTGGTTTATTGTACTATAATTGTTATGGATCCTAAGAAATTAAAATTGTTTAGTAAGGCTTACAAATGGGTAATTTAAAAAACACTGTGTAGTATTCTAAGCATTAAATTAAACATTTGTTTCCATGAAATACGATTGCAGATTACGGAAATATCATAAAAGAAATATTATAAAAAAAAGCACACCTAAATGTGTTCAACAATTCAACCTACTTATGTATGTATTTCTTTAATATATACATATGTAAATATTCTTCTTGTATTCCCAGCATAAGAGAGAAAAAGAGAACATAAGAGCGTATTCTAAGAGAAAATATGTATGTATGTATATGTGGGTTCCATATAAGAACTGTTTAGATTGAATACTCATAAATACATACATACATATATATGAGATCATTTACATAAACTTGCTATTATTTCATAAAAGTATAAACAATTTCGTTTGACTGAATAGATTCTTAAATAGTTATACATACATATTTATATGTGTATATATGTACATATGTATCAATCATTATTATCAGTCACTGACTCTCAAGAGTAATGCAAGCAAATTTGTCAATTTCATGTTTTCTTACCGGCTTGCAAAGCAACAAAGCAAAATATATACATACATACATACATATTTATATTTCTATGAGCATATAAAATATAAAACACGAATGACAGGGCAAAGCAGACTTGAAATAAAGTAAAAGAACTGAAAAAGGAAAAAACAAACTCAGGCGCCATGATAAGCCAGTACACTACAAATATGCATGTTAATACATATGGAGTATGTAGTATGTATATAATACCATATCATATCGGTGTATCTCGCTATGTGATTAAATTATAAAGCGCTTGAATAACAGTTGACCTATGTTTGACGCATGTTGTGAAATAACATGCCCATACCCAGAAATTAAAAGAGCGTAGGGTGCTCGGACAGTCGCCATGGCTAGATTATTGTTAGGCAGCCAGCCGCTATATTTACCGAATTTGTGTGAGAATTCGTTAGTTTGAAACGAGGTAGCAATACGTGTGGATCGCGCATGGAATAGATCGTATAATTGCTCAATGTTAATTACACATTGCAAAGTTACTTGCAATTATTAGTTTACTACTGTGATTAAAAAACAACAATTCAAATGTCGCATTTAAGCAACAAAACCAGTTTCATAGGCCTCGCGCTATTGTGCCTGCTGAGCAGCGTGGCGGCCTATAACTACCTGTTGGTGCTTCCCACTTCCGCACGTTCGCACTACAATGTGGGTTCGGCGCTGGCCAAGGGCCTGGCGGCAGCTGGTCATCAGGTGACCCTCGTCTCACCCTTTGCACTAAAGAAACCAATTAAGAATATTAACGATATGCCGCTGCCGAACGTCTTGAAAGCTATGGGGGGTAAGTAAACGCCAGTCGAGCCCGGTTTATGTATATTTGTTATTTCATCATCAAATAGAACAATATGTAGTCTATCCTATCGAGTTGTCAAGTAAACAATTATCATTAAATGCAGTTGCATAAGTATTGATATGAAAACGGAGCAGTGGAACAATGTAAGAGGCCCATTTTCAGCAAATAAGAATACCAATTTATTTATTTGAATTTTTCTATACTCCAATCTGATGGCATATAAAAATAAAAAAATTGTGATACGATATTAGAAATATAATTTGGCTTAAAATCGACAGCTAGAAATGGAAGACACATAAAAGATGTGAAGAACTTGTATTTCGTATAATTTGAAGCGATGTACAGTGTGTCAAGAAAGTGTTTTGACAAAGCGAAAATTTCATATTTTACAGATTAATATGAAATATTAACTACATTTTTAAATGTTTTTATGTGTATATCAAATATATTATATCAATTTCCATTGCTTTAAACAATTTCTAAAAATACAAATTCTTTGTAATAGTTTTTCTAGCGCTTACGGTTGACAAGATTATCGCTTTCCTTATGAAATTGATCTAGACCGGCGCGATTGGCTATCTATCATTTATATATAGGTACACATTAATACACTGTTGATAATTGTACATACATTTATACCCTCTTTTTTCGCTCGTATTGGGTATTGGATATGTCAAGACTCAGTTCGCAAGAATATACCATATATACATAAACTACTCCAAATATATATATTTGGCATAAAGCTCTCGATGCTATTTTCTAAACTTACTTTCGTTTCTAAACTTCTCTTCCAGGCGATATAGACAGCCTATTGAAAAAGTCAGAACAGCCAATTATACAACAAATTATTGGATTCTATGATATGGGTGAGTTCACAAAATAGAATTCTTGATCGTTACTTAGTGTTTCTATTAATGTAATTGTTGTATATATTAAAGGCCTACGCATAACTGAAGCATTACTTAAGGAGCCGCTCGTGGTTCAGCTGCGACAATCAAACCAGACTTTTGATGCTGTCATCAGTGAGGTGTTCCTGAATGAGGCCCAATTTGGCCTGGCTGAACATTTTAAAGCACCACTCATTGGACTGGGCACCTTTGGAGCCATTAGTTGGAACACAGATCTGGTAGGTGGCCTTATGCATGTGAACCTTTCGAGGCTTTACTCACACTTTACCTTCTGACAGGTTGGCTCGCCTTCACCACCGTCGTACGTGCCGCATGCGCTGCTCAAGTTCTCGGATCATATGACCTTGACCGAGCGTGTTATCAATTTGGCGTTTCTTAGCTACGAACATCTGTTCATGAAGCTGTACTATTTACCGAAGCAAGAGCACATCTATACCAAGTACTTCCCTCAAAATAAGCAGGACTTTTATGACATGCGCAAGAACACGGCACTGGTGCTGCTTAATCAGCACGTCTCACTGAGCTTCCCCCGGCCCTACTCGCCCAACATGATCGAAGTAGGCGGCATGCATATCAATCGCAAGCGTCAGCCGCTGCCGCAAGACATTGAAGAGTTCATTAAAGGTGCCACACATGGCGTCATCTACTTTTCCATGGGCTCTAACTTGAAGAGCAAGGATCTGCCGCAGGAGAAACGTCTGGCACTGATTGAAACTTTTAGCAAGCTCAAGCAGCGCGTGCTTTGGAAATTTGAGGAGCCCAATTTGCCCGGCAAACCGGAGAATGTTTTCATCTCGGACTGGTTCCCGCAGGACGATATATTGGCACATGAAAATGTAATCTTGTTCATCACACATGGCGGTCTGCTTAGCACCACAGAATCCATTTACCATGGCAAACCTTTTGTGGGCATTCCCATTTTCGGCGATCAGTTTCTGAATATGGCTCGTGCCGAGCAGAATGGCTATGGCCGGACTGTTGTCTATGAGGAGCTAACAGCCGAGCGTCTAACCAAGGCTATTCAGCAGCTCGTGCAGGATCCGCATGCCAAGCAACTAGTCGAGGGCATGTCCGCTCGTTATAAGGATCAGCCGCAACTGCCTCTGGAGCGTGCCGTCTACTGGGTGGAGCATGTGACCAGGCATAAGGGTGCGACGTACTTGCGTAGTGCATCACAGGATCTGAACTTTGTGCAATATCACAATTTGGATGCCATTTTGATTCTGTACGGCGGCATTCTGTTTGTATTCTACTGTTTGCTATTGCTCATACGCCGTGTGTGGCGCGCCCTGCAGAACATCTTTATGGGTCGCCAGCAGAAAGAGCCGAAATTGAAGCGTAATTGAGTTAAAAACTAAGCTTAAGCCCTAAGACATGTTTATATTGTATTTTGTGAACGGTATCTGTATCTATATGGGCCGTATGTTACGCCTTTGCTTCTGCTTAAGCTCATAAAAATTTCAGTGCGAGCTGCGGTTGGTTTTGCTGCCGGCGCCAAACTTGTAAAATAAAATCGAAAATATTTTGTATAGCTATCGACGATTTTTACTTCGCTGTGCGTGGGTGGCCGTTTGTTTTAAGTTTTTTTTTTTTATTGTCCTATTTTTTCGTTTTCTCTCCTTGTTATTTGTTTCTTTCTTTAGCTAGTTGCAAATAGTTAACGCTTCAGTTGTAAAAATGCCCATCAGCGCGCTCAAATTTTCAACAGTGAACCCAACAGAACTAGTGCCGTGGCCACGCCCACGCTCCTGCACAAATGTCCGCCTACACTCCGCGCCGTGTTTTTTTCTACAGTTGTTTCCGGAATGGGCATGGCTGGGGTGCTGTGCGCTCGGGAAGGGGTCCAAGAGGCGTGTAAAAGTTTTAGCGAAACTTATTGAAACTGTTTTGGGCCATGGCCGCACTGGAAAATCAGCGTCCGCGCCGGAAATGTTGGCGGCGGTAATGGTGGCGGCCGCATTAAAACTGCAAGTAAGAAATATACAAAAAAAAATATATATATACAAAAATGGAAAACAAAGGGAAAAATAACAGGCTGGTAAAAAATGCAAGCGAAAAAAGAGGCAACTGTTGTTATTATTGTTTTTGTTGTGGTAGTCGCTGTTTCAAGGCTTCCTGTTGATGCGGTTTAGCGATGAGTTTTCAAAATTATAATATTTCAAATAGTCGTCAACTGATCAGGGTAATAGCGATATGAGTAACTTTATACATATATAAAATTTAATAATAATTTGAGCCTGTTTTATGCATCTAACTAACATGGTTTCTCTTATTTAAGTTTCAATTTTTTAAATGAATCTAGCAATATCTTATTTAATAATTGTATCCTGGCTGACTGAACGGAATTTTTACTAAAACTTCGTTTTGAGTCGAGGGTGAGCACGGAGTTTAATTCTTTCTAGGAAACGCATTTAAAACAACTCAACAGTATAGTTTTGCATTACAAACGTGGAGCTATGAGACTGAGACTAGCTTTGTGTCTGAGCATCGTACAGACAAGGGTAGTGGCCGGTTCAACTCCAGAAGCGATTCAAAATTATTATATTGTTGTTTTGTCATAAAAAAGCTGTTAAATGTATTTTTTGAAAGGTCCCAACCAGACTTTTGTTTAAATAAATTAAAGCAAAAGTTTTTTTCTTTTTCTGTTGTACGCATACAACCGAGGATCAGTGTATATCAGCTGTGTGAATCTTTGCTGTTTTGTGGCTTTTTTTTAAAAGCTGGCATTAAGTAACTTCTGGGCAAAGCCCCACGCAGCGTTGCGGGAATCACATCTAAAATCTATAAATATACAACACTGCACTTGATTCAAAGCAGTATCAGTGTTCGCTGAGCCGCAAGATGTTCAGCTTCATTTTGTTCGCTTGGCTGCTGTCCTGCAGTGCGGTGCTTAGCGTTGAGGTTGACTTGAACCTGGGCCGCATACGTGGTATCAATCTGACATCGAGACTGGGTGTGCCGTTTCATGCTTTTCGCGGCATACGCTATGCAGAGCCGCCGCTGGCTGAGTTGCGTTTTAAGAATCCACAGCCAGTTAAGGCATGGGCCCCGGCTACTTTCGATGCAGAGCAGGACGGCCCCATGTGCCCGCAGCCGTGGGACAATATGACAGATGTCTCAGAAGACTGTCTGCGTTTGAATGTCTATACGAAAAATCTAAACGCAACTGCTCGTCTGCCAGTCATTGTGTTTCTGCATCCCGGTGGATTCTACGTTTTCTCCGGCCAAAGCAAATACTTTGCCGGCCCGGCGCATATGATGGATCGCGATTGTGTACTGGTCACACTTAACTATCGTTTGGGGAGCCTAGGTTTTCTGGCCACAGGCAGTGCAGATGCCCCCGGCAATGCTGGACTCAAGGATCAGGTGCTGGCACTGCGCTGGATTCAGCAGCACATCCATCGCTTTGGGGGTGATCCTCAGTCGGTGACGCTGCTGGGTTACAGTGCGGGCAGCCTGAGCATCGGCTTGCACATGTTGTCGCCGATGTCGCGGGGTCTGTTCCATCGTGGCATTTGTATGAGTGCCTCACCCTATGGCCAGTGGGGATATCAGACAGCGGATGTGCAACTGGCACAGCGCCAGGCACGTCTGCTGAACTGCCCAGAGAAGCCACTAAAGGATTTGGTCAGTTGCCTGCGTGAGAAACCTATGCAGGACTTTGTTAGCTCCTACAACGGCATGTTCGAGATTGGCTGGAATCCAGTGCTCAACTGGCTTCCAGTCATTGAGCAGGACTTTGGTCAGGAGCGTTTTCTGCTCGAGCATCCATACAGAACGGCTCAAAGTGGCCACTTTTACAAGGTGCCTCTTATCACGGGCATCACCGAGTTTGAATTTCTCTCGGGCGCATTCTGTGAGTATATGTAGTTGCAGCGTTATGCATTCTAATTCGTTCCACCTGACAGTTGATTTGCGCAATGACAGCATACGCGAAAAGCTTAATGCTAACTGGGAGCATTTTGCACCTATAGCGCTACTCTTTGAACGGGACACGCCCCACTCGCGGCAAGCCAGTGCTGTACTACGAAACAAGTATCTGGGCAGTGGTCGCATCGAGAATCCGGGATCCCTGCAAGGCCTGGGAAGGCTCTATAGTGATGCCCTCATAGGCGTCGAGTACCATCGATTTATGCGCCTGATGGCTCCCCATACACCTATATACACGTACTATTTTCGCTACAAGGGACGCTACAGCTTCCTGAAGCATCCCGATACCAATCAAACTTTCGGTAACTATTGAGAGCAAAAAATATATGAGACAAGTTCAGATAATGTATTGTTCCAGGTGCCGTACATCACGATGAGCTTTTGTACTTGTTCAACGTTCCGATCCTAACTCCCCTCCTTAAACAGAGCGACCCCGAGAATTCGCTTATTGAACGGCTTACACGAATGTGGACTGAGTTTGCCAGAAAGGGGTATATATAAATGAAAACAAATATATATCTCAATACTTATATTTATAACACTCTACTAGTGATCCTCACAATGCAACTGATGAATACTTACGCGGTCTTCAGTGGCCGTTATACAATTTCCAAGACCAAGCGTACTTAGAAATTGATATCAATTTAACAGCGAAATATGGCAATATTCATGAAGAACGTTTCAGAGTATGGGATGAACTGTTTCCGGTTCCGAGCTTCTAATTAAAATATGTCAATGTTACTCTTACACATATGATGACATGAAAGATTTGATATTGAAGGATTTGAATTAAGAACAACCTAAAAATGCTTAAAATGCGCTTCACAGCCCAATAACAGCGTACATACATCAGTTTTTTTTGCCACTCCAATGTAGTAGGCGTAGACACAATATTTTTAAATCAATCCTTAGACTTAAAAGAGATTATATACCCTTAGCTTTTGGCTTAAGGGTTTTCAGATATGTGAGGAGAATAATAAAGCTCGTAATTGCTGAGTGTCAGAAAAATATCTTGTATATGTATTCAATTCTATATTCGACAGACTCTTCCTATATAGTTAATTGATCTACTAGTTCGATGTTACTGAACTTTTTCCCTTTTAGTAGAACGCGATCCCTATATATACTCTACTTGCCATTATATAGCTAAAATTGCTATCTAATTCTTAATAAAAAAATACAAAAATATAAATGAAAATGCAAAAAAAAATTACGATCTTGTTAAGTCTTGGCTATTTGGAGAAAAAAAAAAAAAACAAATCTAATAAATGCCAGGTTTAATCAAATGTTATTGAAAAACAAAACAAGTTGTTGACAGAAGAACATAATTTTCCGATAAATAGCAACATCTCCAAGAGTACGCAAAAACGATATTTGATTTAATATGTATGTTTAATTTTATTTTTAAATGTTCACGGCTTAAAATAAAAAAGTTTTACTGGGGCAACTGTTTCCATTCCGATATCGTAATACAAAGTAGTCTCAGACTCAAATTAATGTTGCTAGCGAGACACATCATTTTCTAAATCGAAAGCTTAAAGAACTGATAAAAATGTATTACCTGAAAACTTCTCTCTATTTGCTTTCTAGTTACCGTAACAAATCAATTAGGAAAATATTTATGTAATAAAACTTAATTTCAAAGCCCGACATAAGAACTTAATGAACACGTGTTTCAAGGAATTTGCAATTTGGAATTTTGGAATTCAAAGATCTTTGTGAATTCACAACACTTGAATGGAAAACGCGGGTAAAAGGCTTGAAGAACGACAGTTTACTTTTAGGCTTCAAGCATCTTGCCACAATAAATAAAGGATGAAAAACGTTGATTCCAACTTACGCTTCTTATTCGATCGACCTTGAATATATTTTGAAATAAACGTGGAGTTAAATATGTTGATTTAAATTTTTCACAGCCGGGAATATGCCACGAGTCTGGGTATACCCGCTAGCTATATATAAATAATAAATATTAATATTAAGAAAAAAATATATATAAATATATATATCTATATATAAAACTGTTTGTTTTCACTGACTGACTTACTGATTGATGATTAACGCACAGCCCATACCATAAAAGCTTGGAAGCTGAAATTTTCACTAAAACGGTGTTTCGCGACGGGTACAATCGACTAGAACACTCTTAATATTAATAATATTAAAAATGATACTATGTATTATACAACTAAATAATATTCGTACAGCGTATTCTTTACCCTTCCTAAATTTATTTTGAGCACTGTGATTCAATCATTAAGTTTATTTCAAAATTCAGTTATCGGTCCTTATACGTGTATGTACCTCTGACAGGCGCACACACATTTTGGTGACTTGCTAATATACTTCAATAAATATACATATATCCTAGCGAGTTTTCCCCTACAGTCACAGTTTCAACCTATCGGCCAGTCAGTCAGTTGCGTCACACTGTTGTATATTTATAGATGTAGATATACAGAAACAAATAGATTAAAAGATGGAATATACTTTTATTCAATGAGCTTTATTCATATTTCTTGATAAAAGACAGCATGCGCTTAATCCTTTAAGATCGTCTGACTGCCCCAATGCCCGTTTTTACCAGGCAAAGCAACGCAGATAAGCAAAACCAATGCAACTTTAAAAGACATTTCGAATAACTGACTCCCTTTGATGAATTCTTTTCTATTTATAAGCCCAGGTCTGAAACTAATGTAATTAAACGGTAATTGGATTTGGTAGCATTTTTAAGCCGTGACCGGTAGAGTTTTTAAGCCGTGACACTATTGAAAATGTATTAAGAAAATGTATACTGGTTGTGTCCAAATGTATGTAAAAGCAGAAGGGGCAGACTTGGAATTTTTAGGAGTTATAGACTTCCTTCCATAGCATGCGCTAATCATCAATAACTTACCCTGTTTCCATGAATCGTTAATAAACGATACAAGTTACCTTGCTTATTATTGAGTTTTCAGAGATCATACCACATTAAGTATGGAGGCTCTCGTATAAACTCCAGAATGAACATTGTTCATCCATGAAGGGAGGATTTGCGAAATTCTTTCTAGCAAATACCGTTGAAAATGAGTTTGAGGGAGATCGGATAATAATCGAATGGAACTTATCTTTGTATCTCGTAATATTTATCTCTAAGGTATTTAATCTATCATCAAAGTCAACATTCTTTAACTTGCTGAAAATGAGCTTCAAGCTAACTGGATAAGGTTCAATATTAAATTTTATAATCCGTTTCGTAAAGAATTACGGTGATTGCGTGATGGTACGCTAGTATCACCATGCATTTAAAATTAGATTGTGCATATTTAATTAAATACTCTCTTATGAAGTGTACAAAAATAAAAATGCAAAATTATTTTATTGCAAAATCGTGACCAATAACATTATGTCCTGTGTCACCTGGAAGTGAGGATTGAATGTGGGTGGCTTAAGTTAAACCTCCTTGACCCTCATCCCTCTCTTATTATCTTGGTTGGCTAACTGGTAAAACTGAAATTTGTACATATCTGTGAAATTTTTGAAAATCTTCCACACTTTATAGACTTCTTTATAAGTTTATGTTTGAAATTAACCTCCAACAAATTTGCAAAAGCACAAAAAGGGAGGCACTTTTCTTGTCTATTCTTTAAATTTAATTTTTAACATTCTTATTATTTGAGTACTCTTTTATGTGGGTCAACATCTACTGTATATGACATAGAATTTGTAAAGCTCGGTTACTGTCAAGTCAACCGAGAATTTTCTCCGATTCAGCAGAGAATTTGACAAATGCATTAGGGCAACACTGGCTGACAGAGCTATCCAGCATTGGCAGCATACTTTGCAAATCTCTTATAAAAATTTCTTGCAATTTGCAATGCCAGCAAATGGAGCAACCGCCCGCCCACTTCTCACCTGGACAACATTTTTTTAAAATTGTTGTAAAAACAAGCAACGTTTGTCGACGTCCAAATGAAAATGCAAATGCCAGGCATTGGAGCTCTCCGTGCCGGCTCTATCACCAGGAAAGTAACAAGATGACTGCGAGAAAACTCATTGAATCGACTGATTTGCTGCTGGCACATATTTTTCAGAGTTAACAAACAGAATTTCTGGCATGGACACATTTTTTGACACTTCGGGACACTGGCAACTGGACGTTTACAATCTTTGCCTGACGCCATGGCAATCAGTATAACAAATGCTTTTTTCATTTAACTTTTAAGTTTTGATAATTTTGCTGGAACTACATGAATCTGGCGCTTGATGGTCTGTGTTCTTTTAATCCATAGCTAGTTTGCTCAATATTTTGTTTCGTAAATGAAGTTTGACTATTTCCATATAAAATATCAAAAAGGGGAAATATTGTAAAGTCTGCATTACCCATTGAAAATGAGTAAAAAGTGTATATTGTATTTGTGCAACAACTAAATGTATGTATTATGCAGAAGGAAGCATCTCCGACCCCATAATTATATAAATAATCTTGATCAGCATCAACAGCCGAGTCGATTTAAGTAGCTATGTTCGTCTGTCTGCCCGTCTGTCCGTCCGCCCGTATGTAGAACGCAAGGATCTCAGAAACTATGATAGCTAGAGATTTGAAATTTTAGCAGTCGGTTTCCGATAATCGATATCGAAATCATGTTTTTTGAGAAAATTGTGTAAATAATAAGAGAATCACCAAAAATGATATGTTTATTCTAGAATAGTATATATGCATATATCAAGTATTCTTCATTTTAATGCAATTTATTTTTTCAGATTACCCAAATATTCTATGGAACAATAAGATTTACTGCAATTACATGAAGATCGGTTAAGAAACACGTGTTTGCTTCACAAGCGCATATGGCTGTTGAGTAGAGACGGCAGCAAGTAGTGCGGCCAGTTGCGAGCTTGAGCCCTGCCAAGGGTACTTTTTTTTTTTTAATTTATCTTTGTAATTTATCTTAGTAGTACTAAAGCAAAGTAGCGCGTAGCGCGAGCTGAATTTAGTATAATATGGTTGGAATAAGAGTGTTAAGGGTATCCCCTAGTCGCGAGCTCCCGATTAGAACCTCTTACTTGTTTTAAATTGATAAATTGAATTTATTTTAAATGAATTATGATCTTCAATATGGATCCTTCATAACGGATTGTAATCAAGGACTCATTAAAAGTTCAGCGATCGCAAAGTAGAACATCAACAAATTTGCTCTGTAACTGTCTTGCCAGCTTTTAAAGGCATCAATCGGCACATTGAGCAGCTTTAATTCGTTAAAATCATTTACATTTTCATGCTGCCATTGCCAGCAGCAGCTTTTTATGCAAAATACCAACTACAACTACAGCAACATCAATAACAACAATAACAATAACAGCAGCCAGACAGCGAGCAACAACAACAACAAATAGATTTGTATTTACTTCATGAATTTTTGATTATGCATTTGTTGCTGCGGCCAAAAATAAAGGTGCACATACATCGAAAGTGGCGCTGCAATTTTATATTACGGATACGCCGCGTATGAAGCTGATTGGAGGCCAGTTGATGCACATTTTTTGGTTACCCACACCATAATGAGCTACATAGCAATGAGTAATATTTATGCCACATAAAGTGAACCAATATTATCCAATGTATTCAATTATTCTGGCAACTCTATAATTTGGGTAGGCAAGAGCTATTGTGCATTAATTCAAATATAATGCAAAATGATTTTAAAATTTTATGTTTTATATTTGCAAAAAATTAATAAAAAAAAATTGAATAAACTAGTGATGTTTCAATTTGTCTTTGCCCGATACCTGTTGACCTTGTAAGCTGCACAGCAGCTTCTTTAGCACAACATAAATTGTAACCAAAATTAGTATGCCCACAACCAAGAACATGCCAAACACATCGAGACTATGATAAGCCACAAAACTCAAGTCCTGCGCAGCCACTCGCATATGGGAAGCGCCTTTGTGGCGCAGCACATACTCCGTCCACCAGATGGCCGTCTCCTGTGGGCTCATGGGCTGATCGCGGTACCGAGCTGACATAAGCTGTGCTGTTGTCGAAAATTTTGGATCATTGATTAGACGTTCAATAGTCTGCTTAAATTCCGATGTTGTCATCTCTTTATGGTCGAGTCCCAGACCGAAGCCAGCGCGCTTAGCGCGCTCCACATTCAAAAACTGATCGTAGAAGAAGGGCAGCCCCAGCACGGGCTTGCCATGGTGGATGCTCTCAATGGTGCTGAGAAGGCCGCCGTGTGTGATAAAGAGTTTCACATTGGGATGCGCTAGTATGTCGGGCTGGGGGAACCATTTGCTAAGAAATACATTAGCCGGCTTGTCGGGCAACTGATCGTCTTCAAACTTCCAGAGCACACGCTGTGGTATACTGGCGAAAGCCTTAAGCAGCATCTGCTTTCGCTCCTGTGGAAGATCCTTGCTCCTTATATTTGAGCCCAGGGAAAAGTAGATAACACCCGCTGAGCCGGCGCCTTGAATAAATTCCTCTATCTCTTTGGGCAAGGGGGCTGGCGTGTGAGAAATGTGCAGTCCTCCCACTTCGATCATATTGGGCACATATGGACGCGGAAAGCTCAGCGAAAAATGCTGATTAAGCAATATCAACGAAAAGTTTTTGCTCAGCTCTGCCAAAGGTTTCTTTTGGGCGACATGTGGAAAGTATTGCTCATAGAGTTGATTTTGCACCGGTATATACATCAGTTTCCAATTAAGCCAGGCTATAGCGGTCTCAAAGAAGTTGCGCACACGCTGCCAATAGGTCATGTGATCGCTCAAGCCCGCCGTAACTAGTGGGGTATATGAGATGGGCGAAGTATTGCCCACCAACTCATCGACATTCCAATCCGTGCCGAATGTCGAGAGGCCAATGATAGGCGCATTAAAGTGCGCTGAAAACCCGTAGAGTGCATCGGTACGCAGGGCCTCCACAATGATCAAATCATATTGGGCCTTGCCGGGCTTTAACAGCTCCCGCTGTACTTCGGCATTTTCAAACACTTTCTTTGTAATGCTGATAAAAAAATCATTAATGAATGTGTTCTCCTGCCACACGTTTCTGTAGGCTTCAATATTGGAAATTATATCTGAAATAACTTTTAGATTGTAAAAACTTATGACCAAACATATCAAACTCCAACGCACCATCATAGGATTGAAATACTTCAGGTACGACAATGTCACGAAAGTTTTTTACTGGCTTCTTTTGGGGAAAAGCGTTAACCGATGTAACCTCGTGACCGCGCGATGCGAGGCCTTTCAAATAGGGCAAGACGTTTATGTACTGTGATGGACCCGGAAAGGGAAATATCGCAAGTATCCGTGCGCCATCAAGGAGACTTGGCAGCAATAAAACTAATGGTAAGAGGCAGCAGAGCCGTAGAGAGAACATTTCGTGTGTTCGTTCCCAGCTCTAAAATATAACTAAATTTCTGAAATGGGCGTTGATAAATGGAAAACATTGCTCGGTTTAGATTAGACTGATGGACGTGCATGCGATAACAAATTTAACAGAGGCGATTACATTCATTGGTATGAGAGCCACACAACATGCCCCCATGTTCGGCCTCACCTTGTCCAGCTCGTATGTGTGCTTTTAGTATGAGATTATTAAATTAAGCTCTGCCTCTGTTTAACAGCATGCGTTACTGTTTCCCTCTGCTAGTTTCAATGTTGCTAACGCTCCGCGTGTGTGTGTGTGTGATGAGAAATTGCCAGTCATGATCATCAGCGGAAATTTTTCTAAAACTCGTTAAATATCATCTTTCCTATTGCGATAGTAAATGTTAGACGAAAGAGTACACTGTATATATTACTGATAGTAAATTTGTCCAGTACTTCTCTATCTGTCGATAAAAGTAATAATTAATTTGTACACATTACATAATAAAATATATGAATATATATATTAGGAATAAATTTAATAAGTATGGAATTCTTAATATATTTTTAAAGCTAGTTAAAAGCAAAACACTTTAATACATATTATAAAATTCATATACATTTTTTTGAATGCTTGAATTATTTCTGTAAAAGTGTCTAGGCTATTTTAAAATTTTGTTGTTTGTTGCTTATTTATTTTTTCTTTATTTTGTTTGTTAATAAATAAAAAATTCTAACGGAATCTCACATAAAAAAAGTTTACCATATAATTATTAAAGATAATTATCATTAAGGAATTGGTATCTGTTAGAAATATTTAAGTACAAATAAATTGTGTAATCTCCAATATCTTTTCAAATTTAATACCTACTATATATTATTTATATTGAGATCTACTGTGTTTTTTGTTTAGCGTCTATCTTGCATCGTTTACATAGAATGTAGCGTAATATTCTCAACAGAGCCGAGAGCACAAATAAAAGCACCAAGACAATTATCGATGTGACGCCACAGAGTAGGCCCCATGTGTCCAGACCATGAAGCTGGGCTAGGCTCAGATCACGCGATGCGGAACGCAGATGCTGAGCGCCGTTGTGCCGCAGTACATACTCCGTCCACCAGATGGCGCGTTCTAGCGGCGTATCCTTCTGATCGCGAAATAGTTTTGACTTTAGCTGCGCTGCCTGTGTATAGCTGGCGTTGCTGAGAAGCTCCACAACCTGATCGTGCAACTGGGCGGCAGTCATGGTCCACAGATCCAGGGCCAGGCCAAAACCCGCCTGCTTGGCGCGCTCCACATTCAAATGCTGATCATAGAAAGCAGGCAGACCCAGCACCGGTTTGCCAAAGTAAATGCTCTCGATGGTGCTTAGCAGGCCGCCGTGTGTGATGAAGAGCTTCACATTGGGATGCGCCAGAACATCAGGCTGTGGAAACCATTTGCTAATGAGCACATTTTTGGGCTGGTCCTCCAGCTGCTCCTGCTCAAACTTCCACAGGACGCGCTGCTTGAGGCTGCCAAATGCCTGCAGCAGCACCTGACGCGTTGCCACCGGCAAATCGGCGCTCTTGATGTTTGAGCCCATGGAAAAGTATATGACACCATCCTGGGCATCCGCCACAAACTTGGCCAACTCAACCGGCAGCGGTTGGGGCTCTCTAGAGTGCTGCAAATGCAGTCCACCCACTTCAATCATGTTGGGCAGATAAGGACGCGGATAGCTGAGCGTGAAGTGCTGCCCCAGCAGCATCAGCGAGAAGTTGTCCAGCACCTGCTCCAGCGTTCGGCTGGCCTGGGGAAAGTATTGCTTATACAGCTGCTGCTGACTGGGCATATGGACCAGTCGCTTATGCAGCCAGCCAAGGCTGGCATCCCAAATGTTCCACAGGCGCTGCTCGTAGCTCATGTGCTCGGTGCGCGAGGATAAGAGCATGGGATTGTAGGACAGCGGCGAAATATTTCCCATTAACTCATCGATGTGGCGATCTGTTCCGTAGGATGAGATGCCTATGGTAATAGCCTTGAAGTGTTGTGCCAGACCAAACAAGGCCTCAGTCTGCACAGTTTCCAGCAGCACCAAATCGAAGGTTTCGGCGCCTTCGAGCAATTGCTTCACTTTTTCGTCTTCCAACACACTAGACGTTAACATGTTCAGGAATGCCGTGGTCATGGTCAGCACTGTCCACTGTCTGGCCTGCTGATTGTAGTCCGCACTGCTATAAGCTGGTAGACGGAATCTTATCTGATTTATAACGTACTTACTGATATCGAAGTAGAACCCTTACCTGCCATTAGTTCGTGTATTTTGGTTGCACCAATTACATTTAAGTTGGGCTCCGTTTGGTTACTGCCAAAGGTATTTATTACCGTCACATTGTGATCTCTTTTGGCCAGTTCTTTAAGGTATTGCTCAGCGAATATATACTGCGATTTGCCGGGAAACGGAAAAACCGCCAAAATTTTTGCACTTTGCACGCCAAACGTCAGCTGATAGAGCAGCGCTATCAAAAATCCAAGACGGAACAGCTCCATTTGCGTCCAAATGGGCTTGCAGTTCGCTCTCAACTGAACTCAGCAAACAAAACAGATTTTAATTATCGTCGATTTACCGCCAATTTTTTGTGATTGCGATTACGATTTGGGTTGTTTTAGAAGGTCAAAGCGTGAGTCTAAGCACAACAAAGTTGATGAAGCGCAACGTACTTTACTCAGTTCTTTTATGCTCTCATGCATTTGTTGATTTATTTGTTATAATTTATTTATTTTTTTTTTAAGTTTTATTTGTGTTATTTATAGAATAGCTTAAATATAAGTACGAGCGGCGTTGTCATCGGCGAGCGTTTTGTCAACGATTTTATTTGATTACGAGTTCTCAGTTGTTATGCAACGTCGCTCTCTCTCTCTCTCTCTCTCTCACTATTTATCTTTATATTTTGCGCTCTCTTTGTTAAACAAATCATTATGTGAGCTATAGAGTGTAATCTGTAGAATAGACCGGTCTACCCACAGCATTAAGTTGAGCGAAAAAACAACAGTTTTTGTGTTCATATAAGAATGTTACTCTCTGAGAAAATTTGTAAATTGCGCCACAAATAATATATTGTTGACTTGGGGCGCTTGATTTGTTGTCAAGTATATGCTAGGGGAAACATTTTTTAGCAGTACAGCTATCTGCGGCCCACCGAAGATTAAATACACTTGTAGAATTATAACTTACGGATTTGGGAAACAGGTTTCAAGTGTACAATTGTAAAGCTTAAAATTACTGAGTTTGATGAAGATGTCTTACAAAATATAACATTTTTCGCTACCTAAACTCGACCGATTCTTCCTATAGTACAGTCACTTGCTGCCAGGGAAGATCGTGTAGATCTAATAATTAATAAAAGATTATTAAATAAAATTGATTATAATTAACTTCAAAAATGAGCACAGAAACATTTAGACAGACATGGCTATATAGACTAGGAAATTGATTCTGTTATTATATTGCGTTTATTATATTATTATTTAGGCCTGATGTGACTGTGTGTGGCGCAACTCAGCTAGAAAAAATAATAACAGCAGCCTGGAAACGGGTTAAACGCCCCGCATATCATTATTATTATTATTATCATTAATGGCATTTTTTATTTTTATTTTTTGCATTAGCCGTATAAAGCAACGGATTCTTTACAAGCAGTGTGATTAATATTCCTACCTAAAATAAGTGTTTTATTTTCATACTTGGTAAACTCTTAACCTAATATAAAAATTATTATTTTTTTGAATTAATAACCTTGCCTAGGGCTAGATAAAAATATCTGCATATACATTTACGCAACATGTTTTTTTTAGGATACATTGCTTACAGGTTTTTTCTATTCGAAAATTATCTTAGGTAATAACTTAAGAAGGTAACACGAATAGTCTTATTTGTTTGTACGTATTATATATAAGTCTTTTATATAGACGACATATTAAATTCATTAGATATAAATTCACATAGCAGCATATTGCACATAGAGTTGGAACTCGGTTGCATATTCCGTGTAAATCAAATGAATAAATTGGAAATGCATCCGAGTTAATATACCAATGGCATATGCATATATAATATATTTTATACATATATAGACACTTATGGAGTACAAAATCATATAAACACTTACAATGATTAAAACGGTAATTGCCATTCAGATTAGATAAAGCAGTATTTGTCCAATATCGTAGATTGTCGAGCCATTGGCTATAGGAATATTTATTCGGAACAACTGCGACTTTTCAGGAACCACAGCGACTTGTACAACACATAAGCCACAAGGCCAACAAGAACACCGAGTCGTCCAACGATAATCAACAGATTGTCCATGCAGTAGTAGTCCATAAATTTCATATTGGAGGTGGAGATGCGCATATGGCGCGCACCTTTATGGCGCAGCACGTACTCTGTCCAGTAGACCGCTGTGTCCAGTGGGTGCAAGGGTTGATCCTGAATGCGTTCCGAGAGTTGCAAAGCGTTGTGGTGATATTGGGGTTGTTCCAGCAACTGTCTGAGTGTTGCCTCAAATTCCTGTCTGGTCATAGAATTAATGTCCAGGAGCTCTGCCACGCCCTCTGCCTGCATGCACTCCACATTCCGAAACTGATCAAAGAATAGTGGCAAGCCCAGCACGGGTTTCCCATAGTGGGCTGCTTCAATGATGCTCAGTATGCCGCCATGGCTGATAAGCAGGCGCACATTGGGATGGGCGAGGATGGCTTGAAGTGGCAGCCACTGGGCCAGATAGATTCTGCTGCTCACATTGGGCCGTGCATTGCCCTCAAATTTCCATATGATGCGCTGTGGCAAGGTCTCAAAGGTGTCTACTATCAGTCGCAGTGTCACCGCCGGCAGATCTTTGCTTTGCAGTTCCATGCCCAGGTTCATGACAATGACACCGTGTGGGGCCTCCTCAATAAACTGTGCCAGCTCTGGCGATAGCGGAGCCAACATCTTGGGCACATGCATGCCTCCCACCTCCACCAGGCCAGGCACATTGGGCCGTGCCGGGAACAGGCTAAAGTGCTGGTTTAGCAATATCACCGAGAAGCTCTGACGTATCTCCATAAAGCTCTGCTTGAGGTGACCAAAGAAATGCTCATGCACCGCTTGCAATGACGGTAAATAGATCAATTTATGCATCATCCACTCCTCGGATATGAGTATCCAGTTATAGAAACGTTCCAGCAGCGTTACGCCGGACATGAAGCCATGGGGCAGCAGCGGCTCCAGCGTCAAGGATGCTACATTGCCCACTAATGTGTCCATGTTCCAATCTGCACCACATGTGGCCAGACCAATTAAATTCGCATTGAAATGTGCGGCCAGTCCGAAGAGCGCATCTGTATATGAGGGTTCCAATATCATCAGATCATAGCTCACATTGGATCGCATGAGCTGCTGTACCTCTTCATTTTGCAGCACATTGATACAAATCTTGACAAAATAGTTACGTGTGGAATTCACTTCCACCCATTTGGACATGGACATCACTTCTTCGGCATTAAATTCTAAAGGGGCAATAAACACAATGTTGTTAAATAGTTCAAGCAAAGCTTAGGATACACGAGGGGCGTTATCATAAAGACGCTTTAAAAGTTAGCTAAGGTGATAAAAGTAAATATAAAAGATTAACGGCGATCATAAATAAATAAAAATGTATTTTAAGAAAAGCTTCAAATGTCCGGAGACTTAATGCTCGTACTAATAGGCATATACCAAATTTACAATTATTTGGCAAAGCGCTGTCGTCAAAATAAATACACATTCCGAAATATTTGCTTTATGTTAAATTAAATTCATATTTACCCAGCCTTTAACCCAGAGGTCTTATTGCGCTTTTAAACTCACCGAACACTGTGTCATAACGATCTTTAATGTGTATCGAGTGTAGCTGCTTCACAATTTCGCAATCCGTGAAGGCGTGTATTAGGGTCAGATGATGACCCCGCTGCAGCAGCGCATGCAGATAGGGCGTCAATAGCATGCACTGCGAATGCATATCGTAGGGAAACACAGCCAATATCCTGGCAGCCCAAGTGGGGCACAGTTGCAGCAGCAGTGTGCTGAGGGCGAGACACCCAATCAGCAGCTGCTGCATTCGCATTATAAGAGACTCCCGCTAACAGTTCCACCGAAAAGCACTTGCAGTATTTGACTGAAAGCGAAGTGGCGCTCGCCTTGCCCACACAGCCAAGAGCCAACTACCTATGGAAATGCCAGTGATAAGATTAGCAGCACTCTACGCAACCAGGCCCACTACCATTCGATATTTTCAATAATGCTCAGTACTAGAGAGAGCATTGAAATGTACGGACGTGGAGCCGCAACATGGTAGGGCACACGAGCGGTGCTTTGCTGGTATTTGGCTTGTGCTTGCAGCTAACACATGCCGCCAATATTTTAGCCGTATTCTCGTACAGTTTTCCCTCACCCTTCCTGCTCGTGGGGCCATACATGAAAGCGCTTGTGCACAAAGGCCACCAGGTAACCATTATTTCTGCTAAAAATCACTTGGCGGACATCGATGGGGCTCGTCATATTCGAGTGGAAATGCTTGATCAGCTAATGGAGGGTAAGTAAAAGGTCAAGAAGTTGCGATAATTAAAACGAAATACGTTATACTAGCTGTAAATATTTTATAGTTTGTGTATATTAATAAGTCGACATATTTAATATTATACAAAGGCAAACGATGTTGCCATTTAACTTTTAATATGCTACAATTTGAAAAAAAAAATTAAGACGATCTAGTCAGGAGCTCCCGATGTGTGTGACAGGGGGATACCCGGAACCCTTTTATTCTAGCCCACATATACCAAATACAGCTCTCGGTACACGCTCTATTGCTTTCGTGGTAACAAAGATAAATTTAACAAAAAAAGTTCTCTTGGCAGGGTTCGAACTCGCCACTTACCGGACTACTAGCTACAATAGCCAACAAAAAAAATAGTTGCCACCGCCTCTACTCAACAGCTACACCAAATATTGAGCCTTAGTGAGAAAAAACGAATGAAATTAATAGCACAGAAAACAATACAATCGCAATTGCAATGTTGTTGATGAATTCAAATCAGACGCGCTTGAATGTATGTGTAAATGTACACAGATATTCTTCGAATTTTCGCTGGTGGCGCAAACTCGTGTTTATCGGTTCGTGTATCTTGTCGTACCATATTTGTGTATTCTCAAAAAGTAAATTGCATTGAAATTGTAACTAAAATTTGTGGGCAATACAAGTGCTAACTTGATTTATGGCTGTGGGCTAGTAGCGAGGTGGTGGCGATAGGTATAAATTGAAAGAGTCTTGGTTTATGCATATGTACTATTCTAGAGTAAACATATCACTTTTGGTGACCCCAGCTCTAATTATTTACCCAATTTGTGCAATTTGCAAAAAACTGGATTTCAAAATCGATTTTTATCGAAAGCTTCAAAACGGAGTACGTTATCGAATATCGGAAACAAACTTGATCTGCGCATGGACTAAGAGCACCTACAGCTAATTTCAGGCTAAAAGTCAATGAAAAACTCTAAAATTGTATTACGCAGTTAATTTTACAAAACATTTTCCCAACAAAATAAACATTTTTTCAGATTAAAATATAAGTTAGACATAACGTTTTCTAAAGCAAAATCAATTTGTTTATTACAAAGTCTAGATTTTTTGAACTATGATTTTGAAAAGGATTTTCCCATGAGCAAATGGCAGCAAGCTTTGATAATGGCAGAGTTTTTCTACAACTCCTCAAGATACATTCTGAGTGATGCCGGCGTCCAGTCACTGATCCAGGATAAGAGTGCTCACTTTGACATGGTCATAGTGCAAGCATCCCACACAGATGCACTCTATGGATTTGCCCCGTTCTATAACGCCTCCCTGGTGGGTCTTTCTGTCTATGGAACCGCTTGGAATATCGACTATCTGGCGGGAAATAAGGCGCCCAGCGTGTACGAGCCCATGTCGCCGGACGGGTACTCCACTGGTCTCGGATTGATGCAGAAACTGAAGAATTGGATATACATCACAGAGGAGTGGCTTCTGGAGCAACTGGTGTACCTGCCCACTCAGATGCAGCTCTACAAGCGCTTCTTTAACAAATCAGCGGAAAGTCTATATAATATTCGGCGAAACTTCTCCCTGATGCTGATTAATCAGCATTTCAGCCTGGGACGCGCTAGATCTAATGTTCCCAATGTCATAGAGGTGGCGGGCATCCACTTAGAAAATCCGAGCGACCAACTGGATGACGATCTGCAGCGCTTTGTGGACGAGGCCGATCATGGTTTCATCATCTTCTCAATGGGTATGGAAATCACTGGAAAGTGGCTGCCACCGGACTGGCTTCTAATTATGCAGGAAATCTTTGCCCAGCTTCCACAGCGCGTCGTCTGGAAATATGAGCAGGCGCCGCCCAATAAATCGGAGAATATTTACATAAGCCCCATGCTGCCACAGCGCGAATTATTGGCCCATCCCAAGGTCAAGCTTTTCATCACCCATGGGGGTGCTATGAGCATTATTGAGGGGGCTTATTATGGTGTTCCCATGCTCTGTTTGCCGATGTACTACGATCACTTTGGTAACGCAGACCGCATGAAACATGCAGGCGTAGCTCAAATTCAGGGCATTCTCACGATGACTGTTGAAACCATGACGAATGCCATCAAGGAGCTAATCAAAAACCCGGTTTATGCTCAAAATGCTCAGCAGATGTCCGAGCGGCTACGGGACCAGCCCATGAGCTCCCTGGACACGGCAGTCTGGTGGACAGAGTATGTGCTACGACACAAGGGCGCACCACATATGCGGATCTCGGAAGACGACATGTCCTTCATGCAGTACTATAGTCTGGACTTCATATTGGTGTTCTTTGTCCGCTTTGGAGTGGCCATATTGATAATAACCTGTGTGGGTCTCAAGTTGCTCAGTTTCTTGTTGAAGCCCTCTCACATACTCTCCTCTGTGCCGCTCCTCAAGTAAACTCTGCCAACAACAAAAATTAAAAAAAAAATATATATATATATATATATATATATGTCTATATAAATATTGAATAAAAATTATATTTATTTATTTTTTTATATAAATACAGATATAATAAAATATCATCTCCGTAAAAATATATAATATAATATATATATATATATATTTATATATAGAGAGAGAAAAATAGAGAGAGAGATTAAGCGAAGGGGACATGTGTCCGCTTTGTTTTGATTTGTAATCAATTGATATCTTTCATTGGCGACGCTTGACTAGAAAATAAAAGTATAATTTTGAACATATTTTAATTTAGATAAAGCCTTGATAAGCGAGGCAACGGCGCAGTTATTATTGTTGAGTGTGAAATTGTTCAAATATGTTGTTAGTTATATTAATATGTATAACGTCCTATTAAGAACATAAAATAATAAGGTTTTACTAAAATTATATAATAATTAGCTATTATTTTCCAGCCTTCACGTAGCATATATTTCCTTTAATTTAAGACATGAACTTTCTCGTAAAATCTGTCGAGCGTTCAACATTTACTTGTGCATTGTTCACACACGATTGTTAGATTTTGCGAAAAGTGTGAAGCGATTCTCGCATACATTGTACCGTTGGACAACATTTGCTTTAAGGAGGGAAGGATTTTCCGACCCTTCAATTTAATGATATATTTACTACATTTATTTATAACTACAGTGAAAACTGCAGATTTATAATCAGGGCAAACTGTTTATGTATTTGGGATATTTATTCTTTGACACTCATCGTCGTTAATGATTACAATGAATATATGTATCGAAAGGTGCGCATCTAATTAAATGCTTACATAGCTGACAAAGCGGTTTTTGTTCGGAGTTTTTCTAATTTTGAACGGGCCAGGACGTTAATGTTAATTCCTTAAACTGTATCCTGACTTTTTACGATTGTGACATCAACTTTTCCATTTGCACATAACAAGGGCGTGTAGTGATGGTACTGATGGCTGGCCCTGTCTGGAATTTGATTGAAATTGAAGTGGCGCTCACCCTGCCCACCTAATGATAAGATTAGTGTATGCTTCGTAATCAAACGCACAACCAAAACCGATATTTTCAATAATGCTCAGTTCTTGAGAGAGCAGTGAAATGAACGGACGTGGAGCCGCAACATGGTAGGGCACACGAGCGGTGCTTTGCTGGTATTTGGCTTGTGCTTGCAGCTAACACATGCCGCCAATATTTTAGCCGTATTCTCGTACAGTTTTCCCTCACCCTTCCTGCTCGTGGCGCCATACATGAAAGCGCTTGTGAACAAAGGCCACCAGGTTACCATCATTTCTGCTAAAAATCACTTGGCGGACATCGATGGGGCTCGTCATATTCGAGTGGAAATGCTTGATCAGCTAATGGAGGGTAAGTAAAAGGTCAGGGAGTTGCGATAATTAAAGCAAATACCTTATAATATTTATAGTGATATGTTTTAACCAGATATCTTTTAAAGTATATTTATATTATATACGACGAACGGGGTTGCCATTTCATTGTATGCTAAAACGTTAACATGTTATTGATAGGCATATTTGTAAGTCATGTTTCTATTATCAGCTTTAACCTTTTAGCATTTGGCGATCGAAGTTTAATCATTATCGCTTTGTATCAAAAAGATTAGATAAATGAAAAGGCTAATGGTTTTTTTATACCTTCCTTCTTTAATTTAACTACTCATCAATTAAAAAAATTAGAATTCCGTCTTCAAGAATAGATCGCACAGTTTCTTGCAGTAATGCAAAAAATGATCCCAAATCATAACAATCTAACAAAATGAACTTATACCCTGAGCCCATTGAAAATGGGTAAATGGGTATAATGGTTTTATGTTTTGTGCAAATGAAAATGTTGAAACAGGTAAAAGTTCCAACACTGCCAAGGGAAAATTTTTATAATTTATCTTTATTACTTCAAACGAGTGCGATGCGCGAACTGCATTTGGTGTCGGAAGCTCCCGACTAGAACCTCTTGTTAAGATCATAATAAAATTAAGACTTCAAATTCAAAGGGGCAATATTTTTCTAAAACAAAATCTTAAATGTTTGGTAATTCTCACAAAGTGTAGATCTGTCAAACTATGATTTTGAAGACTTTCCGATGAACAAATGGCAGGAATCTCTGTTGACGGCCGAGTTTTTCTACAACTCCTCGAGATACATTCTGAGTGATGCTGGCGTCCAGTCACTGATCCAGGATAAGAGTGCTCACTTTGACATGGTCATAGTGCAAGCATCCCTCACAGATGCACTCTATGGATTTGCCCCGTTCTATAACGCCTCCCTGGTGGGTCTTTCTGTCTATGGAACCGCTTGGAATATCGACTATCTGGCGGGAAATAAGGCGCCCAGCGTGTACGAGCCCATGTCGCCGGACGGGTACTCCACTGGTCTCGGATTGATGCAGAAACTGAAGAATTGGATATACATCACAGAGGAGTGGCTTCTGGAGCAACTGGTGTACCTGCCCACTCAGATGCAGCTCTACAAGCGCTTCTTTAACAAATCAGCGGAAAGTCTATATAATATTCGGCGAAACTTCTCCCTGATGCTGATTAATCAGCATTTCAGCCTGGGACGCGCTAGATCTAATGTTCCCAATGTCATAGAGGTGGCGGGCATCCACTTAGAAAATCCGAGCGACCAACTGGATGACGATCTGCAGCGCTTTGTGGACGAGGCCGATCATGGTTTCATCATCTTCTCAATGGGTATGGAAATCACTGGAAAGTGGCTGCCACCGGACTGGCTTCTAATTATGCAGGAAATCTTTGCCCAGCTTCCACAGCGCGTCGTCTGGAAATATGAGCAGGCGCCGCCCAATAAATCGGAGAATATTTACATAAGCCCCATGCTGCCACAGCGTGAATTATTGGCCCATCCCAAGGTCAAGCTTTTCATCACCCATGGGGGTGTTTTGAGCATAATTGAGGGGGCTTATTATGGTGTTCCCATGCTCTGTTTGCCGATGTACTACGATCAATTTGGCAACGCGGAGCGCATGAAACATGCAGGCCTAGCTCAAATCCAGGGCATTCTCACGATGACTGTTGAAACCATGACGAATGCCATCAATGAGCTAATCAAAAACCCGGTTTATGCTCAAAATGCTCAGCAGATGTCCGAGCGGCTACGGGACCAGCCCATGAGCCCCCTGGACACGGCAGTCTGGTGGACAGAGTATGTGCTACGACACAAGGGCGCACCACATATGCGGATCTCGGAAGACGACATGTCCTTCATGCAGTACTATAGTCTGGACTTCATATTGGTGTTCTTTGTCCGCTTTGGAGTGGCCATATTGATAATAACCTGTGTGGGTCTCAAGTTGCTCAGTTTCTTGTTGAAGTCCTCTCACATGCGCCTCACTGTGCCCCTCCTTAGCTGAAGTAAGCTTATCAAAAAGAGGGCAACATATAGATAGAGATGCAGAAATATATATATGAATATATATCTTTATATATGTATATATATATATATATATAGAGAGAGAGAGAGAGAGAGAGAGAGAGAGAGAGAGAGAGAGAGAGAGAGAATGATAGAGAGGGGGGAAGAGGAATAGAAAAAGAGAACGGGAATAGACTGTGATAGAGAGGTAAACGGAAAAGGGGAACAGGTGTCTGCTTTGTTATGATGAGTAATCAAGTAATCTGTTTATAAATTGCCCAGCGACGGCAATTCAAAACGTAATTTTATAGTAAATTTTGATTATAAGAGGTTTCCAATTTAGACACAGCTCTAATAAGCGGAGCGACTGGGCTGTTCCATAACTTATGAGACCGTAAGAAAGATCGTAAGAAAGATATGTTAATACAAAAAAAAAAATACTAAAGCTTAAAACTAAAAATATAAACATTTATGATCTAAAAATATAACAACATTAAAAAATAATGCACAGCCTAAGCCATTAAAGCTTTGAAGCATAAACCGCATGTTTATCATCTGATTGGCCTCAAACTCATTGTCACAGATTTTTGTTCAAATTAATTTGGGGAGTGTTTCTTCTGGCCGCAAAATCAATGCCTCTTGGAGAAATTGGCTGTCAAAGATTTCGTGTGTGAAGCTTCAGGCTGATAATTATTTCAAAGAATATTTATTAATATTCATTTCAGACATTTGCTACACTTTTCACAGAGTTTAAGCTTTTAACTTTTGCCCGAATGGCTTCAAACTTATTTTCAAAGCATATATACATAAGATCGTAATAAATACGTGGCGGAACGATTTTGTAATTTCTAGAAGAAAAAGATGGCTATGCAGAAGACGATGGCTTTAATATTGAAAGAGACAAGTTCAAGAAACGTTTTTGTTTAATACTTGAGGAGACGGTGGCTATGACCTTGCGGTGCTAAATAATTCAAGCCAGGTTTAGCAGGCAGGCTGCGCTATTGCAAAAAAATGTATCTCTATATATAAAACTGTCTGTCCCGACTGATTGAAAGACTGATTGGCTGATAGAAGTGTTGGTCTGTATGATTCTCATAAAAAAACAATAAAAATACAGATTTTTCTGGTGTCTTAAATTCATATTCAAATAAAAGCGCATAACGATTTGGTGTTTTGTAAGGAAATGTGGCAGTCTACCTAATTTAATAGCTCTTAATTGGCTCATTGAAGTAGTCGACAGAAAAGGGTCAACATTCAAAGTATACTTCGCAACTGCCACGTATATTCTAATTAGAAAACTTTTCTTCATAGCGCGGTCATTATCTATCTACACCTTCAGCCCCACCCCAAAACCCCTGTCACAAGTATAACCGCGCTCATTACGCATTTTACATCAATCAGCACGTGCCCAGCATTTTTTAAAATCTTCCTCAACCATTTTTTTCCAAAGGGTTTCTAGCAGCATAAAGAAAAAGAAAACGCTGGAAAAACATTAATATGCGCAGTCAACGCCGGAAAAAAAGTGCGCACAATTGCGCTCACAATTGCTGGGTAAAATGTCCAGAAACGTGGCTGGCAACAAGATAGGGGCTCGCCAGGTCCCCACGAAGGTAGAACGTTTTTGGTCATTGAAGCGTTATGTGACTGTCTCTGCCCTTAACCGAAACCGCTCAAAGCAACGAGACGAGCATAAGAAGCAAATACAGTAAATACTGCTTAGCAGGGTTGCAATAAATTAATTACATGCTTGAGTGCCAGAAGTCAAATAAATATAAAAAATAATTTCTATTCTATATGATTTTTATTTTTAAGATATTATCTATTCGATTTTGAACTTTAAGATTTATTAAAAGCACTTTTTACTGTAGCACAAAAGACACATTCACTTTGAAGTTTCGCAGTGATTTAAAAGAATATTGTTAAAAGTTGAACATGAATTAAAAAAAGAAATTAAATTCTTTGCTTTAAGACTAAGAAAATGAATTCGAACCAAACCTGAATATTGAAAGAGGAGCAGAGCGGCCCACACCAAAGTCCAAAAAGTGTCCTGAACGTGTTGTCAATTTGATGTTTATTGCAGAATTTTATTTGATTCTATGTTGCACCATTTGAATTTATGTACAGGCCATAAACTCGCGAGTGTCTAATCCGAAAAATTCTTGTGAAATTGCCAAATCCCTGTTGGCTTGTGTATCAAGCTAAGCCATTTTTATTGGCCATTTGGCAGGCCAGCGAAAAGTTTTTGGTCAATGCTCAAGTGGGCGGCATTCATTGGCGCTTAACTAACTGAAATTAAGTAAACTTTCTTTTGACTTTCATAAGCCTTTTAATAAGCCATAATCCCGCAGGCCTGATCTGGATTGTGCGCGCACACACAAAGGATACTCAGCCACACGAACACACAAACGCACACGCACACACACGCATGCACATCATAAAAACTAATTAACATTCTAGGGGCCATGAAAAACGCATGCAATAAATATCATCAATGGTAGCAAAGAACTTTATTAAAAGTAGTTTTAATCAAATTCCAATGGGGCTGCTGCGCCAGCGTCGGCTGCTGTTGCCTCAGCTTTAGCTTTTCACCGGGGATAGCATTTGAGGCCTGATTAACTTTATAGCTCGCATGAAAAGCGTGTTGGCAGTTGCTTTGTAACTATAATAGCTGCCAATATTAGCTACCTTTTGATATTCCTAATGGGTGTATTAGCTATGTGCAGTAAAGTTTTCAGATATAGGTTGGATATACACTCTTCAATATCATTTATTTCCATAAGTTATTTTCAGGAATGAATTTCTATATGCAAATATTCCAAAAAACATTTTTTTGTTAGTCTTTTAACCATTATGCTGATATTTTTAAAGTCCGTTCCTTAAAATAAACATACAATAAATTTTGAATTTGTTTTAAATTACCTAAAGAAGTCTCAAATCAATGAATGATATTAATTGTATAGAAATGTAATATACATATTAAGTCGAATGGACTTAAAATATATTTCACGATATTCTGAAAGCATGCTTTGCAAACATATCACCGTTATCTGTAAGTGCATTAAATGTTCGGCAATCGGTGTTGGTGATACATTTCATATCTTGTTTGTTAGAAAAGTTTTGCTGCAGGCTTTTAATTAGCGTCTGCCGTCTAAATCCCAACGCGCATTACGAATACGTCGCGTTGGCTGACGCTGCCACAGCGGTTGCCTTTGAGGTGTTGGTCGCGATGCCGGGGGTGCCTCTGAGCTGTGCGGGCACGATTTTAATTAATTAGACTTTTATGAGGCGTGCATGCAGCTAGGCGACGGGTTAAAGCCCAGTTATTGTTTTTGGTTTTATAAGCCCCTTTGTCGTGGCCGCGTTTGCAGGCTTAACACCAGCCATAGATGTAACGCGCACACACCCATCCACTCAGCCTCGCACACACATACATGGGCTAATATAAAAATTTAGCATTATTTTTGTTGCTGGAGCGATATTTGGCTGGACATGTCCAAAAGGCCACTGTGTGTGGTAATGAAAATTGTGGTCGCATTATGCTCAGCATTCGGCATAATTGCAGCCTGGATATGCGTTTATGCTCAGAGATTACTTTTTGTGGCCGTCCGTTGACCAAAAGCAGCAGCAATCACAACAGCAGCAACATCACCAGCAACAACAACAACAATAAAGGGCACATAATGTAATGCCAGTGAGCTGAATACCCATAATAAAAGGCAGACGATGTCGCATTTGTATAAAGAAATAAAAATAATACCCCAGTTCTTTGTGCAAGTGGACGCGTGTGTGTGTGTGGGGGGAAGGGTTTGTTGTTGCTCCAGTTCGTTTTTCTCTTCATGTTGCTAGGCAAATTAATTTTCACTTCTTCTTTTTATACCCTGAACCCATTGAAAATGCGTAAAAAGGGTATAATGGTTTTGCAAATATATATAACATGCCAAAGAAAGCGTCCCTGACTCCATAAAGCATTAATATTCTTGGCCGTTTACCACTCTGTCGTTGCTTATCGTATAGTATCTATAATCTGTATTAACTTTACTTTTTTTGGATCCAGCCGAAACTTCCACTTGGAAACAAATAACAATTTTCGCAATAATCTTAGGAGTTGTTTTCTTTTTGCGAATTTGCGAATATGAAGTTATTCAATAAAACGTGTTTGGTATATATGTGCACACTCACATACATATACGAGTTTTCTTAAAAACGGTAGATCGAGCTGCGAAGAAGGAACAGGGCATCTGCCAGTCGAACGCGCCCGACTAGTGCACTGTTACTTGTTTATATATTGCTTTTTATTTAAGTGTGGTTGGGCCAACAATTTGCCAGCTCTGTTCACTTAACTAAGGGATTGTGGTAGATAGTTGGGCCACAGGTTTCTACAAATGATATACGATGCGCATAAAGGAGATAAAGACAGAATGTTATAGAAAAATGAACGAACCAAGTTAAAGACAGATTTAAGCTTAAGCATTTAAATGTATAAAAAATTATATTTAATATAATATGTTTAATTTAATAAAGTTAAGCTTATAAAACTTGTTTGTCAAAACCAGCCTTTTTAATTATTATATTTATTCATTAATATTATTTATATATAATCCTTGACACGTATCCTTTAAGTGTATGTAATGAATTTACAGCTTCTTCCTAAATTCATTGTTGAAAGCAAATTAAAAAAAAAAACTAAACACGAGCTTAAAAAATATAGAAGCAAATGCAAAAATGTATAAAAATGCTTTTAAAATAATAATTAAAATGCACATAAGAATTATGCGTGGAAAAAATAAAAACTTTGCTCAACTTATAAAAAAAAAAAAGATGAATAAATAGTAATAAAAAAAGAAATTATTGTTATGATTATTATACATTATGCTGACAGCAACAAAAGAATTCAAAACGCGACCCAAGCTTCGGCTTTAAGCTATTGCATAGAGACGGAGTTATAAAAGCAACAACAACAACAATTGCCAACAACAACGTGGCAAAGACGTAATCCGCTTGTTAAAAATAAACGAAAATAAAACGTAGGACAACAAGGAGTCGACAGGCGGGCAGCGTGAGCAGAATGGGTGGTGGGGTGGCGAGCCAGGCGGGTGCTGGCGCGCAAAACATAATCATCATAAACCGGAAATATCCCGACGGCGAAACATCCGCACATAAATTTCTTAAATAGTCTACAATTTTTCGTTGCCGTTCGGCATTTGCCGTTTGCTGCTTTGTTGCTTATTGTTTGTTATTGTTGCTGTTTGCTGCTGCTGTTGTTGTTGTTGTTGTTGTTGTTGTAGTTGTTGTTGTATTGCGTGTAAATACGTTTAAGTATCTGCTGCCCACCCATGGCGACCAAATACAAACACAAACGTAAACTTGGTCAACTGCAATAAACACACAAATTAACCCCTAATGCCAACAGAGCAAAAGCCGCCCCCGCCAGTAGCAGCCCGAATGACAGTATGCCAGGACGAATGTCCTGCCTCAGCATTTATTGTGGCGCAACAACAACAGCAGCAGCAGCAACAGCACAACATAAATAAAATATTACA